GAAATATTTTTTCAACACCTGTAATTTTTTTCTCATCTTTAACAGTCACAGTTGCAGATTATATTTCTAGAGCTGAGTCTCAGAGCAGACAAAGAAACCTCCCAAGGGAAACTTTGGCTAAAAACAAGAAAGAAATGGTAAGGAGAATTTAACCTGTAGGTTTTTTTTTTTTTGGTATGATTTAGCTTACTTTTTTTTACTAAAGTTACTGTATGATCACTTGTTTCCACAAATAGACAAATATTTTAGTTTTAAAAAAAGACTTGATTTTCTTGGCCCCAGGTAACTGAAGATATGCATGCTTGATCCTGAACTACTTTTCAGATAGAACTTTAACATTTGTAAAATTTAATCTGCCCAAAAATACTGGGTATAATAAAGACTTGCTTAATTTGGTGAGCATAAGGCTGTTGTATATCTCTGCTCAGTGATGGATATACACCTATAAAGTTTCAATTCTTTTAAATGCTTTCAGGGATTTGATATATAAATAATTTCAAAAAGGTGAGTAAAGTAGGTGATTATTTGCTGTACTTAGGGCATTGTTTCATTTACAAGGTGAGCTATCCATTGGTTTAAAATAAAATTGGATACATGTTTCATTAAACAGTACAATGCTTTCTGTGGTTTGGGCACTTATAGGTATTGATGTTACAGAGTTGAAAGACCCAGTGGTGTAAATTATAAGGGTGTTACAATTCTTTGATCTATTGTTGCATATGAAACAAGTTTATTAGCTCATCGATGTTTATGTAGCTGTTTTTTTCCTCAACTGTAGATTTCATTTATAAACAGTTTAATAAAGTCATCTCCTTTTGGCAGGTAAAAGATGTGATTGAAGAGCATGGTCCTTCAGAAAAGGCAATAAATGGCCCAACTAGTGCTTCTGGCGATGAAATTCCTAAGCTACAGCGTACTCCAGGAGAAGAAAAGATTAATACCTTAAAAGAAGAAAACACTCAAGAAGCAGCAGTCCTAAATGGTGTTTCATAAACTGAAGAAGTTCCTAGTTTACAGTTCTTTTACATTACATTTACAATAGTGCTTGTACAAGCTTGCCAAAGATAGAATATGGATCGCCAGTCTACATCGCACTTTCAGTTCCTCCATTTGGAATTCAGAAAGGGGAGGGATCCTGAAGAAATCATTTGTAAACATACTTTGACACCAACTGTGTTATAAAATATATCATCAGATGTGCCTTGAGAATAGTATATGTAACATTAAAAAAAGTTGCTGGCTATAGGAAATGTTATTTTGTTTTCAAAATATGGCAGAGATGGGGGGAGGTGGGTGGGGTGGGATCCCTAACATAATATTCTTTATGAAGGCATTAGCTGCTTTTGTTACATTTTTAATATGCAACCACTTCTTCACCTGAGGAAAACTAGAATGAAATGCAGTCTAAAAATATTTTGCACTGAATTGTAATTTCTTCATTAGTTTAGTCTGGAAACTGGTCTGTCTTAATGTGTTTTTTAAATGCTGTATGTAGGGGGAAATCTGCAGACCACTGGAATACATTTGTTACTCTCATCTGCAGGGACACTGGGTGATAGTGGCAGTGACTGTTCAACAGGCTTTGTTTGGCTTATTTATTAAAGTGTACAGTATTTAAAAATCAAACATAGCTTTAGTCAAAACACTAAGCTGAATTAGTCATGTCCATTCAGACGTAATAACCTGAACTACTGAAAAGATCAATTTCCAGAAAGTTTATTCTGTATAAACTACATGTTAGTCGTTAGTATAGTATCTTTTTTTTTCTTTTCCTTCTTTTTTCTTTTCCTTTTTTTTTTAAATTTTGGTTGTTTGATGTGCAATATGTTTTTGTATGCAGGTAGTAAATAAACTTTGATCTTCCATTTGCTGATTTTTAACTTGCTACTTTTTATGCCAATTGTTAAAAAAGTAGTTGGAGCTATTTATAGGCCTAGAATAGTATTCTTAGATTGCTTTACAAAAGCATCTTTTGCTGCTAATATATAATATTAATATGTCAGTTGACCATTTAATCATTTTGTAATGAATTCCATGAAATCTTAACATTTAAAATTTAAGCTGTTAAGAGTACATTTCATATTAGAGGAAAGATCTTTGTATCAAATTCTAATCAAAGGCGTTTAAAAGGGGGGGAGGGTTGGAAGCCAGAATTTTACTTTTGCCTTTTAATTCTTTATTAGAAATTATTTTTAAAAGTATGGTAAACAATTTTTAAAGTAAGGAATAGGCCAGTAATTGACCTTTTGATTCACAAGGAAAAAATTTTGAAAGTTTTCATACTAGTGATTGAATATCATTCAGTTTAGATATTTTGGTTGAAGGCTTAATTTCACAAAGATAAAAACTTTTACATGAAATTTAGTGAAACCACTTTATTTAGAGAAACCAATTTATTTTTAGAGAAAGTAATTTATACAGTTTAATTGTGAGGTCAACTGAAATAATTATGGACTTTAGGGAGGTCTTTGCTTCAACATACTACATGGATGGCTGAACAAGAGTCATTTGGTTTTGTAATTTGATACCTGAAAAGTGGGCTTTTATGTGCATGAAAGTATTAAGTGATTTTGATTTACAGGCACTGAAGTATAATTCAAGGAATAGCTAACGATGTAAAAATTTCCCAGTCAATATATATTATAAACAGCCTTCAGATATATTCTAAAGTTCAAGTGTGCTAATATTGAATGTGTTTTTTTCCCCATGAAAACGTTGATAATTCCTGATAATTCTTAAGGGATGAATAGTGAAATTTTCTTTTTTCTCTTTTTTTGAATAGTAAAATTTTTAAGTTGCTACTTACAAAAGTTCTTTAACTCTGTCAAAGCTAAAAAGTTAACTGCATAAGTGGGTTACAGAATTTTAATTTTTAAAAACTTGGATAGCCAGACATGGTGATGTACATCTGTAATTCCAAGATGCTGAGGCAGGAGGATTATGCATTCCAGGCCAGCCTGGCCACATAGTGAGATCTTGATTACTGTGCTGGGATTAAAGGAAGGGCCTTGCACTTGCTAGAATGTACCACCGAGTTATACCCCCAGCCCAGAAAGAATTTTAGTTAATCCCCAAGTTAGCAAATGTGGTATGAAGAAATGATTTTTCTTTGTCCTTTCCTATATGCATTACTAAAACCTTTTCATAGATTATTTCAATAACAATTATCTTGTATGTATAGCTGAAGCAGTTCTTCAGAATAGGAGTATAAATAATCATACTCTTAAGAAATAACTGTGAAGATTTCATTACTTTACAAATGCCTAAACTCAGTGATTCGTTCTATAAGAAATGTGTACTCTGAAGAATGGTGGTAAGTGGACCTTTTTTAAAGCAGTACACAGATTCAGAAATATTAGTGAAAAGACCACTCCCCAGATGTAAATTGATTTAGGTTGGCTTCCAGATTTTGAGAGGGTTCCATCTTTTTGGTTGCATCCTATTTAGATGAGGTGTTATAGTGGGAAAGCACTTCTTAGTATACACTATACACTAAAAGACATTCAAGCAAAAAACTCTGAAATATCCTGCACAGCTCAAAAGCCTTATCACATACAGACCAGAACTGGACCATGTAATAGCAGAAAGTTTGTGGGGAACAAAAATGATCTGGTTTTCTGGATTCCTAGGGAGGCCAAGGGATTCCTGGTTTAGGTGCTTTGTTTTTAAAACTTCAAAAGGGCTTGAAACTCTTGTCCAAAGTATTACCTCTGATAAGAGGTCACACATTAGTGCAATTATAGTATGTATACACACCTTAATTTTTAAATAAGCATTTTAATGTAGAGTTAAGCAGTACATTTCACCAACTGAATGCATGGAAACTTACCTGAGATACTGCAGGACAAACTGGAGAGGAGTTGCTTAAATAAATGTGTTTTATAGAAAATAATTACAAGTGATAACAAGACCTGAAGAATAGTGAGGCTCTAAGCTGTTCTCAGTTAAACCCTTCTGTTTAAACGCCTGTATCCCCATCCATCTCAGCAATTCTTTGCAGGCAGTTTCCAACACATTTGTGCTAAAAGTCACAGGCATTTTTGTAGCTGTTTGCTGTTTTGATGGGTTTTCTATCCAGAGAGGGGAGTCTGTAAGGTTGGGTTAACTGAGTGTTGCAGTTGGAGTGGGAAACTTTTTGTTATCTGCAAACACGTGTTTTTTTGAGGTTCAAATCAATTAGTATTCTCACAGACTGTCTGCAGTGAGTTTATAAAAGGGTAAATTGAAAACTGGCTCTAATGCATTAAGTCCTGTGCCATTCAGATGACTAAGGAGTTCATTGAGAATGATAGTAAAGGAAAATCCTTTTTATTTTCTAGAGGGCTTCAAGGAACTTGGATTTGGAATGGGTAAGATGTTAAAAGTCTTAAATCCATCTTTGCCATCATGGTTTACATCTCATCTTTTTCATGAGGATTCTAATATGGTGAAACTTCTTGGCCCATTTAAAAGGCTGTGTGCTTGAATGGAGTGTTGTTGCTCATAACCCAGTATCAACCTATGATAACATTTGAGTTTTACTTTTGGAACTGCTGCAGTAATTGCCATCTGCTATAGACTTTTGGCAAGTAGTGTTAACGTGAAACTACACGCTGCTGGTTGAAATAATTACATAGATGGAATAATAGGATATTACCACTTTTATAGGTCAAAAGTGACCAACTGCTGACAATTTCCAATGATTGAATATAATTTTTATATTTATTATAGAAATTCAATAAAGAGTGTAAACATCCAGAAAACCCCTTATTACTAGGTGATGGAAGTACATATGATCTATAAATATATTTTTTAAAAGGGTTTATCAGACCAGGTGTGGTACAAGCCTATAAGCCCTTGCACTCTGGGAGGTTGAAGTAGGATTGCCAGTTAGAACTCAGCATAGGGATATAGTCCAGGGCCAAGGCCTATATTCAACCCCTAGTACTCTTGAAAAAAAAAAATCAACTGGATTCAGGTTCATTTGTATCTTATGTTGCAAGTACTAAGGACATGAAATCTTCTGAAAAAACTATAATGCAGCTTTATAATTTATTTTGAACAGTGTGTGATTATTTGAAAGTATCTTACAGGTAAGTGCACAATTGGGAAGCAACAGTTTCACCAAACTTGCTCTGGCTTCAGTTTCATCGAGCAGGGGCTGAGCTACTTGATCAGATCAGGGCCCTCCCACTATTAACATTAACTGGAGTCTACACATCAGAACCTTACTGAACTTTAACCATGTGCCCAAGTACTTTCAGAAGCAGTATAGTGAATTAAACTGTCTTATGTAACATATTTATCCCAGACATTTCAAACTAGTTAAATGCCAAAACAACTGCAAAATAACCAAGACGAGGAAAATAATTCTTTACTGACTTAATTTTATAGTTCCACTATTAAGTATACCAGTTACTACCTTGGGTTTCTTTGTATCGCAGTCATCAGTTTTCTTTTTTTTCTGTACTGGGGATTGAACTCCAGTCCTTGTGCTTGCGCAGCAGGTGGTGGAACCACTGAGCTAAATCCCTGGCCCCAGTTTTCTTTTTTTTTGAATGAAGTATTTTCTGCAAATTTGTACCGTTTTAATGAGTTAACTGTAAAATGTACCTACTTTTTAGTTTCTATTTTTCCTAAAAATATTTCCCAACAGTTTTCTGGATTTATATTTATTTGCTGTCTGGAGATTTTCACCTCCTTTGAGCTTCATTTTTCAGATGATTTGCTGTTTTTTAAGAAAACTCTAAACATTACATGTGAAATTCCATTAAATGAAATAACATTAAGGTGGGTGTGAACATGTTCCAGATTATACTATAACATGGGACTGTTACCCTGTCATTGGGTCAGGAATAATAGGTAACAGGATAAAAATGCTTCTTACATCCTGTTAAGGTAGCAGTTTATTTCTATGCAGCTACACAGCACCTTGCACCATAGTACAATAAAAAGCAAGTGCTTAGATGATCTATGGTTGCTGGAACTCAGGGTTATTCAGTCCAGGATTTTAACATTTAATCTAGCACATTTAAAATATTTTTAAATTTTGTTTACTTCAGACTTACATCTTTCTACCCTATTCTATTCTTGAAAGTTCCTTAGCCATGCTTTACATTGTCATCAGAATCAGTATGTTGGTGGGCTCATTTATGCTCAAAATGACTTCTACAGATGTCTGAACTGCAAAACAACTGTTAACAGGTTGCTGTCATCAGTTTAAAAAAATTCAACAGCATTCTAGATTAAATCTAATCCTTTAAATGAAGCATTTGACTGAATTTTATTTCTATATATTTCTGATGAAAGGTTTTTCAAGGTAGAGCATACATTTTCACAGCACTGAATACACTATAGCTTTTCGGTATGGCACAGTTAATATGTTAAGGATTTTACCATGTGTTAAGTACCTAATCTTCCCCAATTATATATGGCTTTGCTTCTAGCTGTCTTGTATCTTCCTGTTTTGTTTTTTTTTAAATTTAGAACTAATAAGATGGCAGAGAAAAACTATCCAAATTTTCTAGAACAAGCAGTTTCTAGAATAAAATAGTTATGGGGCTTACATGCCACCTGTTTTTTCACACAAGGGTTCTCAGTACTTCTTGGTGTGACTTATTCAGTGGTGATCTGTACGATGACTATTTTTATTTAAATGCTTCCATAAGTACTCCATCATCTGGAAAATATTTGAAAGCAAGAGAATTCGCTTAAAACAAAGTGAGAAAAGATAGTAAACCTCTTAAGATTATTCATTGCCTAACAGTTTTTATACAGCATCTTAGGACTAATGATGTTAACCCAGAGAGCCAGTAAAAGCAAAAGTAAAGGGATTGAGACATGCCAAAACCTTTTATGCCAAATCTGCTAAGGGTGTAAGACAGAACTCTCCCACCCTGTATAACTATTGAGAGCTAACATGATAGTGAACCAAGTTGTAAATGAACGTGGTGAACTTTAATTTTAATTTCACTAGTTATGTAACTTTGGAAGTAATCTCAGTGTTTGTGTTTCCCAGGGTATAAACAATGGAAGAAAATTTGATCCCTTTTTTCAGATAAGGACACTTTAACCCTTAGCATACAGTTCACTTGCTATTGCCCTAGTATTTTCTAAGTGTGTGCTTTTTTATTAGCCCTAGGAATTAACCCAAGGCCCTCCTGCCAGTGAGCTACATCTCCAACTATTCCTTTTCATTCATACACACACACACACGCAGGTTAAGAGCATGGAAGTCTAAATCTGTCAAAAATCAGCTTTTCTCAGTTCACTAAACTTCAGTTTCTCATGCAAAATGTACATAGTTATGGAGATAACTATCCTGAGTACAATGCTAGCACATTTTAAGTATTTTGTAAGAAAATACCACTAAAAGATGAAGGATGTATTGCAGATCATATTTGCATCAATTACCCTGCTGTGATACAGAACTGTTTAAGATGACATTTGCCTAACAGCTTTCAATGAAATTGAATTCTATTTGAAACGAGGTCTAGAGAAAACTGATTACTATGAAAGAAAAACAATCTACTGTGCTCCTTAGTATTTTAAAGTTTCTTTTAACACCTGTCTTAAAACAGGTATGTTAATTGCATTAAACAAAAGTCTTTATACCTACATTAAGCCTCCCTTTTACAGTTCATACTTGATTACATATGAGCACTTTATCACACTTTGAACAATGTATTTTAAGTGTTAACTTGATTTTTATTTAAATGTCTTCATAACGTTTCTGAAATAAAAATAAACTATAGTCAGTCAATAGTAGATTCCTTATTTGTGAGTTCAGCTACTTACTAAAATTTGTAATCTCAAAATCACGATATGCTTTCTTGGTCATTTTTGAACATTGACAAATTTGAAGTGCACTATTAAGACAATGAATGCTCTGCCTTTTTTGTTTCAGCTCTTATACTAAAAACAAGTATCCTTTCTGTGGTTCATTTAGTGTCCAATTTCATGTTTGTGCTTTTTGTTATTTATGTTTTCTACTTTTTTTTTTTTTTCTGGTATGGGGGATCAAACTCAGGACCTTGAGCTTGCGAGGCAGGCCGCGGCGGAACCACTGAGCTAAATCCCCGGCAGTTATTTCTGTTTTAAGATGACTTCCAGCCATGGTAAAGTGTTGTCTTGTGTTCATAAAAGCAAAGAAAGATGTGCTATGCAATGGGTGAGTTATATGCTACAAAGTTTGAGAAACAATATATATTAAACAAGGTATCTTTAAACAGAAACATACATAATACAAGATTATGTGTGTAATGACTGGTTGACAGAATGTGACCCAGAGGCTCAGAGGAATCAGTGTCTGCTAATTCAGTATTCACAACTTTAGAACACAACTGTTGCAAATAATGGAAACCAACTATGCCTTCACCCCCTGCCTCTCAAAATAACTTTATCCCTGCACAAAAGCTTTAAAAGCTTGTGCTTTATCATACTATAAGTCATAACAGACTTTATGAGATTTTAAATAAAGGTATGCAATATAAAACCAAAAGAGCTGATATGGTCTTACTCTAAAATGCCCCTAAACAACTAAATATGGTTACCTCCACCATTTTTACCTTAAAAACCCTTGTGTTCTACATTGATAAGAACTTTACACTGATTTAAGAAAGTTTAGATGGCAGTATAATTTATCTTGGAGCTACATGTACTATTGGGGATCAATGATAATTTACCTCATGTTTTCTATAGGTCCTCTAAATACATTATTTAAGAATATAGATTGTTAAATACACTATTTTAGGCTGAAGGTTGTCTGCATTCAAATGTCATTTAAATTTGTTAGTATATATATTTTTAGTGGTCCAAGGTGAGTAATATTTTGATACTGAGGGAATTTCAGTTTTGCCAATAGTGTTTAAGCTTGGTCATAACAATAAAACCTGGATTATGTTAAGAAAAAGAAAAATTTATGTGTTCGATATCTTTAAGGGGCTGGATGAATACAATGTAAATACTTCAAACCTTTATTGTACTTTTATAGTTTTTAATTTAGTATATCAGAATGGTCGGTAACTTACCAAGGTAATTTCTTAAGTCACTGTGGGTAAACTGAGTTTTACAGACAAGGTTCCAAAGAGCTGGTTCAGTTGTAGTTGAACAACTTTTCTTCCCAAAGATAACATTCTAAACTACTTAAACATTTTATGCTAATTCCATCATACTTATCATATATTTTAATTACAACTTTGTCTGTCTCTCATTAGACTAGGGCGCTCCTTGAGAACAAGAACTTTGAGGGCCGGGGATTTAGCTCAGTGGCGCTGGTCCTGCCTTGCAAGTGCAAGGTCCTGAGTTCGATCCCCAGTACCAAAAACAAAGAGAAAAAAACAAAAAAACAAGAACTTTGCCTTGATGAGCACACAGATACCAGATTACTTGCTAAGTGGGTAGAAATGAACAATGTTTCTATTAAATGGTGTATATTATTGAATATTAATCCAAATAATAACCTGTAGTCTGATTTTAAAATACTCAAGAACATTAAACCAAGGCTTTGATTGAGCTATGCTAAATCATTTTAAGAAAACTGTAGCTCAGAGGTGTTTTATTATAAAAAGTTAGTACTCATATACATAAGCTAGTATGAACTTAAAATTCATCATACATTTACTTCATTTTTTAGCTTGACCTTCTAGTAAATCTTTAGCTTCATTGATTTTGGCTGCTATATAAGGAGATCCTCCTACAGAAAGAAAGGAAAAAGGAATCGTTATGATGTAGATTTTAAGTTTGTGCTTGGTAAAAAGCTACTTTCACTTCAAAGATCCCATATATGAGAGGTGGAATCAACAGAAATTATGTTTTTATTGTTTAAAAAACGACATTCCAACTGATCACTATAATATATTTGATCAACGGGAAATGAGGTAATTTATATGACGGAGATTTACACAAAATGGTATCTTTATAAAGCTTGAAAGAAAAGAAATAGGATTTTAACATTTCAAATATATATGTGCTTTTGAAGTAGTATAAGCCAATTCATGATGATTACAAGTTATAAATAAGCATCAATTTACTGTATTATCTTAAAAACATGATATTCTCAGCAGCTTCTGTGTTCTGTGTTGGGAAGACCCGAGTTTGCTTTAGATTGCTTTCCTGTCCTCAGTTTTTCTCCTGTGATCAACTGTACTTTCATAAGATTCTCTATTGGTACTTTCGTACTAATCTTATGGAGCACTGTGGTCCAAACAGCAGCAAACAGCATCAATAGGAAGCTTGGTAGAAATGCAAATTTGTGGGCTCTACCCTAGAGCTACTAAATCAAAAGTCCTCCAGGTAATAAAAACTAAGTGTCATACACTGAGGTCCAATGCCAAACAACTGAACAAGCCTGTTTAAAGCTCTCTTAATGAAAGACCTCTCCTACATAAGCATACTGGAATTTGATTTTTATGGTCTACATTTTGGTGTTCAAAGGAATTAACTGATTTCAACACAGTGAGGGCTTCCTGAAAGTATATCAGAAGCAAATAAAATATCCTATAAGTTTCTAATTAGGTAATCTCCAGCTACAAGTATCTACAGTGGGGATAAATAATTTTAGTTTCATTAACTGAAATTTAACATTTGCTCTATTTATGAATGTAAGAGAAAAAAAACTGGTAGTATTCGTAACCAGCACTACTGCAAGTCAATTTTATCACAATTGTAGATCTCAAAACATTGTTAACATTTATTATTATTGTCAAATTACAGTATTTATTATTCTATAAATTTTTTCACTCAGATTTCATTCTTTTAAGATACTAAAAAAATAGATGGATCCAGACTGGAAGACTGCTTACACACAGATTTATGTATTTCCCTTACAATAGTCAAGAATTAGATAAAAAGTTTTTCTATCAATAGTAGTTACTCCAGGAACATACAAAGAAGAATTTAATGATCACTTACCCTTGTCTGGATGATTTAAGAGCATAATTCGTCGATGAGCATCTCTTATTTTTCCTTTATTGGCAGTAGGGCTAATTAAAAAAGGAAAAGGTATTAGTTATTTCAGTCTTCTGGATCACAACAAAAAAATTGTACACATGAGGAAGTTAAAGATTGTGAAACTAATAAATCAGAAAAATACTATAAAAAAATAAAAAACTATGAGACTCTCAGATGTAAAATATATTTTCTGAATCAGAACTAAACTGTACCTTTAAGGCATTCTCAAAATGTAGTTGGACTTGGTTAATATTCATTACAAATTCCTTTTAATGAAAAGGAAAACACTGAAGTATTTGGAAATGAAGGCAGAATTTCACCACAGAAAACATTTTTACTCAGTTACAGAGAACACTGAGCACTGTGATAATCTGTGGTCTTTCGATGAATGAAAAAGTGCTCTGTCCTAGTGTGGCTTCTTCTTTGACTTTTGTATAAGTGTTCAGACCTTTAATATGTACATGGAAGGAGGAGCAGCAAGGCTCCATTGACTAAAACTGAAAATATCAATCTTCCTGGGGCAAAATTTCTCTAATAATTCTCTATACTTAGTTGTAGAAAAAGAATATTTGAATTATTTTACCTTACACCTAGTATTAGTGCTGCTTCCCGTTTTGTCATTTTGGGTTCAAACCCACCTCTATAATAGCCACCACTGAAGGCCTGAAAAGAAATACATTTATAAAGAAAGATTAATAAAGTTCCTTAAAGAAAGTGTGTAACATCAGTAGAAAAGAAATTTCAGAGAACTTGATGTGCAATTCCTGTGGTATTTGTTTTACAAAGTAGAAGTAATATTTTTAACAATCACTAAACAGATCAACAGAACAGGAACAGTGTTTCAAAACTAGTTCTTTCAGGAGAGAAGGGAGGACTATTCCCATTTAGCCATATTCTAAAGTTTTGATCTCTTTAACATTTAGAAGTATCTCAAGAAAAGAGGTCTTCTGAGTTCAAGGTCACCACTAAAACAAGACTTTATGATGTGTGGAGAAAATCATGCTACCTTATTAGGTTAGAAATCATTGGTAATAGCATCACTATCATCACACACTTAATTACTACATAAAAATATTCAACAGGCTTCCACAGCCAAATTCATTAACTGACTGCAGAGTATGGTTATTGTACCTAACTGTGCTTTCTAGGTGTCTTAGGGAGTGCCAGGCCTACGCATTAAGAATAGAGCACTTTAGATCTCTCTGTGCTTTTGATACAGAGCAGGTGAGGGAAAACAAGAAAGTACAATGATAATATTGAAGTTAATAGTATGTGAACAGTGATACTGACTTTCACAGTTCTACAATTATTAACACCATGCCCCTTAAACTGTCTCATAACATTTGATTTCTTAGTGTAGCATCATTCCAATTTCTACATCCTTTTTGTGGAATGCAAAAGAAGGGGCCACAAACAATCACTCTGAACTTCATAGATGTTTGTAAATTCACCCCTCTTAAGTGCGGCTTTTAGGCTTCAAACAAGAAAATTAGCAAAAAAAAGTAAGTCTTACAGACTTTGGTAGGCTCTGAAAAACTTGTTTTACTTGAGGCTCCATATGCTTCATGGCTTGTAAAACATAACGGCCTAAAACCAAAAGCAACAGAATAAATAAATTAATCCCCAGGCTCCCCACTTCATTTCTACTCCCAAACCATAAACAAACCTGCAAATCCTGCAGCAGCAATGGTCAGTCCAACTGCTACCACTGTACTGGCCTGGTAAAGGGGAAAAAATATATTCAGCTCTTTAATTTTCACTCTCCTCATGCCCACTCTCCCATCCAAACTCATTTCAAGTGTAATGAGATCAACAATCTTTAAGGTGGAAATATTCTGATCAACAAATCTTTAAAACTACCGCAACTTCTACATACGATGCATTGTAACCCTATGAGATTTTTCACTATGGAAGAAGAGGGGCAAGTCAACTTGCTTATTTACCTCTACAGCAGTGAAAAGGTACATTCCTTTCCTTTGAAAACTTTCACCCCCAGGGAAATGAGGTCACATTAAAGGTCAATCAAGAGCAAGGCAAAGAAGATTTCTGCTACCGAAGGAAAAATTGTTTACGGCCTTCCTGTAAAATTGACACAGGGCATTTTCAACACCAAACGTAACTTCAGTTTTCAGATGCTAACTCTGTTTTTTTTGGCAGAGCCCCAAATGTATATTCAGGAAACAAGGATTAGGGATTTCTGTCAGCAACAGCCTGAGGGAAAGGACAGTGCAAAGAGAAGCAAATAGTGTGAGGTTGTGTTAGGGGAAGAACCGAAGAAAAAAATCAAATGCGTTTCCACTAATCTCCAAATCCGTAACAGCCTTTGACCTTAGAGAAATTCAAAAGGGGTACTGTCTTCGCACCCAGAGATCAGGACGGCGGACCAGGGACTGGAGAGGAACCGCGTAAGCACACAGTGACCCAAGAGGGTTGCACCACCAGTTTTGTGTCCTGGAAGTTGTGAAGCCCCGGAGATCTAAACCTCTCGCCCAGAGACTCACTAAGGACCCGAACCTCAGCTCCAGTTCCCCGAAGCCGGAGGTTGAAGTTGAGACTTCAGCTAAGAGTTAGCATCTGAGGCTGAGGTCGCCGGAGACACCGGAAGGCTGCACTCACCATGTTTCGACCCAGCTCTCCGCCTTCACTGGGAGTGCAGTTCACCCCAGCCCAAGGCCATGGCCACCAACTACCTGCCTTTACCAGAAAGCAACACAACCACCTCCTGCAAGCATAAACCTCCCAAGTACTACAGCCCTACGAGTTACGGCAGTAGCAGTCGCAAACCAAGCCGGAAAACTGTCGTAAAAGGAGACCAAAAAGGAGGAGGTAAGGTCGCTGCAGTGGTGGGAGGACGGAGAACCAGACTTTGGGTTGGTTGAAAGGTGGGCGGGTCGCTTCTTATCGAGGTTTAAGGGTGGGGCTTTTCTCGGTCCTTTGCTCTTTGCTCCGGGACTTTGGGGACCTAGAAATTCTTGTCAGGGAAGGCCCGAGTATAGAAGAATATGAGGAAATAGTTTCTTCTATCTCTCTGCACCTCGCATTGCCACTTACGGTGGATTGTTTATAATTTTCAGTTGGAGGAATATGCTTAATCATGTTGTGATAGATTTCCACTATGAAGCCACGCAAATGTGTAGCAGCCTTAAGTAGCCAACGAGAAGATGTTCCAGAAAGCCAAACAAATTATTATAATATTAAGGGGTTGCTCGACTGCAGTGTTTATTTAAAAGAAATTTCAAGATACAAATTGACAGGTCTTATGTGAATGTTTGGATTTTTATTTTGTAGAATGGGCCACTTCACAGACAGTAAGTGGCCTGCTCATGGAATCTCAACATTCTACAACTGAAACGAACTATAAATTTAACCCCTCTGCAGTCCCCCAACAGAAAATAGGGCTTGAGTTTGACGTTTTAGTGCATCCATTTCATAGATGCCTACGTAAATGCTTGAGAAAAGAAAAATAATGACAATAATGGAAGTTCTACAATGCAATGTTTGGATGACTAGAATAAATTTGGAGTTACTTCCCATTTTGAAATTACATAGTTTTAAAAATCTGTTTACAGTGCAATTCTGTTGTAATGGGTTGGTTATTAGATAAACACTGGTATATGAATATCTTGGCTTTGCTGCCTCATCTACAAAAATATTTTCCATTTGGAACTCCAAGAGCCCATGTAGCCCTAAGAATTTTGTGATGAAATTGTCAACACATTATTTAATGTCTTCCAACACTAACATACTAGTAATAAGTGTACATCGTCCCTCTTTGCCTCTCTTTTATCTAGTTTTTACCCAATAACTACAAAATAAATAATCAATGGAAGCATAAGACTTTGGGAACAAATTGACAAAAACAAACTAGAATGTTACTTGGGAAAATTCATTATGCACATTGTTGCTGTGTATAAACTATGTTTGCTTGATGAACAAGTTACCATACAAAAGCCTACCCTTAAAAAGCTGAAAGTAGGAAATAGAGCGAGACGTTTTGTCCAGATGGTGATAGCTCTGATTCTGGAGGTAGATCAAACTGAAGGTACAACCTGATTCTTTCACTTACTAGTTCTATGAGTTGGAAGTTGTTTATGACTCTTGTGTTTTTTGTTTGTAAAACAAGGGCAGTGATGATTACCTTGCCATGTTTTTGGGTGGTTAGAGATTATGTACATAGTGTGTTCTACACATAATCGTCCATCAGTGTGGGGCCTTATTATTCTGAGGGAAGCCACAGGAAAACTTGATATGCAGAGACCTGCTTGATTCTCAGGACGTTGCACTTGTAGATATTAATTTGGTTCTTCTTTCTCCCTATCTGCTCAAATTCTGATGAAAAGAAAACCCGTTAAAAATACCCGTGTACTAGTGAATGGATAAATAATTATTCCTTGCTTCTTCTAGCTTCTGGTGACTGCCAGAATTCCTTGACTTGTTACAGAATCACTCTAATATTGGCAGCCAACATTTTGAAATGTGACTCTCTTTGTCTTTATATTGGTCTTCTCTGTGTGTAATATCTCTTTTTGCTTCTTTCTTAAAGGATATATGTAATTGCACATATAATCCAGGATAATCTTCTCTTCTCAAGACCTTTAATTTAATCATAGCTTCAAAGACGTTGCAGTATAAGATAATATTCACAGGTTCCAGTAATTAGATCCACATATCTTTGGGTGCTATTATTTAGTTTACTGCAGAGAATAAGTGAAGAAAAAAGGACTGGCAGGGACAAGAATGTGTGTTCAATTTCTGCTTCCAAATATGTTAATTGGTTAAATCACTTCTGCTTCAAGAGGAATAAGTGAGAGGTGAGAGGGAATAGATATGTACGAGTTTTCTTCTTGCATAGTGAATTTCAAACATTTTTTGACATGACCTTTAATAAGAAAAATATTTTACATTATGGTCTAAGGAACAAATACATACTTGGGCACACTGAGCATATATGCAGCTGTACACACACACACGCACACATACACACTCAGATACCCATAATTTAAATTTGTGTTTTATGAGACAGTATCTTAACTTCATGAGATACCTGCTGGTCTTTTTTATATTTTCCCATTTTTTGGAGATAGGGTTTCATTATGTGACCCTCAGCCTGAAATCCTGGCTGGGTTTGAATTTACAATCCTCCGGCCCCAGCCTCCCAAATGTTGGGATTACAAGTATGTGCCACTCTGCCTGGCTGGCTATTTATTTATTTATGAATCTAGAAAACCTTTTAAATTCATGACCCTCTAATTGGTCATAACCTGAAGTTTGGAAAGCATCACTCTACAAAAATCCATATTTGAAATAATGCCAGGAAAATAGTGGTTTTTTTCTCTCTAAAAATTATATGCCAGACATTTGCTTTATGTAGATTATTTCATTTCACCCTATGAAAGTAACATTTGTGTTTTGCAGGTCAGGGTATTTTACTGATAAATTTTGTTTTCCCCTCCAGATCCCCTCTCTACCCTCCCCTTTTTTAAACCATGCTATGTGCTGCAGAGGAGCACAGGAGGTTAGGAAGCTGCCTTTAAAGGACTGCATTGATGGTCTCTTTGGTCTTCTGGCTTGGAGTTCACTTAGCTGTGTGATCAGTGCATCAGACGGTAGGAAAAATGTGAGTTCATGATCCTCATTTCTCCACCTTTCTTTCTGGAGGTTGCCTTAGGCTGATTGAATTTTTCCACTGAAGAAAACAACTTCTGATGCATGTGTGTTTTGTTAATTACTCTTAACTCTTGCTTCTTCAGGTCTAAGAGTGTTAATGACTTCACTGTCCCCTGCTTGCCCTGCTGGACACAGGACACTTAACCATTTATTCCCATTTCTCCTTAATCCTATCCATACCTTTGTAAACTATCCCTTTATCAGTGACTCCATTTAGCTATTTTACTCTGCCTGCTGAGGGTTTGTGTTCCCTAAATTCACATGTTGAATCCTAAACCCGAATGTGATGGTATTAGGAGATGATGTGTTTGAAAGGTGATTAGGTCAAGAGCAGAGCCATTAGTATGAATGGGATAATTACCTCATTAAAAAAAAAAAAAGGTAGCATTTATGAGCCAGAACGCTGTCCCTTACCAGACATGGAATCTTCCTTGACTTGGACTTAGACTGAGAAGATGGCTGTGTATGTGGAAACAGGCTCTTACCAGACACTGAATCTTCCACTACTTTGGTCTTGAGCTTCTAACCTCCAGAGGTGTGGGAAATAAATGTCTGTTGTTTTGAGTCACACAGGCTGTGATATTATGTTATAGCAGCTCAAACTGATTAAGGCAGTGCACCATTTGTTTCTAGCATAGATAAGGACTACCATAAGAGGCTACTGCAGTGATTCAAGTAGAAGATGATGGTAACAGTGGAGTCCAAGTGGTTAGACACCTGCATATATTTTGAAGACATACCTCATAGAAATTTCTGAATGAATGAGATATACTGCATCAGAGAAAGAAAAGGATCGAAAGGGACTATGAAGCTATAGGCTTAGCAATTAGAAGTACTTCAGGAAGAGCAAGGTGGCAGTGGGAGCTCTTGTTATGTTGTTTGAAATACCAACTAGATAGTTGAATTGTTTTGTCATAAAGGCAATTAGACAATACAAGTGTGATGTCAAGAGGGAGGTCTTAGCCCATGGATGGTCTTCAGGGCCATAGTACAGATAAATCATCCATTGCATGAGTAGAGAGAGAGAAATAAGAACAGTTAGGACTGTGTTTTGAGATACTTCCATATTTGGAATTTAGGAACATGAGGAAATCCCCAACATGAGTTTGGAAAGAAGGGCAGAAGTCAGGTGAGTATGGTGTCCTAGAAGGCAAGTGTAGAAAGTATTAGAGAAAAGGCTAATTGATTGTGTCAAATGCTAATAATAGTCAGATAAAGTAATGAACAAGAATTGGGCAGATTTTTTCTTTTTGGTATCGGGGATTGAACTCAGGACCTTGTGCTTGCGAGGCAGGCATGGCACCACTGAGCTAAATCCCAGGCCCTAAGAATTGCCTGCTGGAGTTCATTGGTGAAATAAGATTGGATTCAAAAGAGGATGAAAGGAGAGAGAGTGAAAATATGATTAAGATATTTCCTCCAAGCAATTTTGCTAAAAAGGGATTTAGAGAAATGGGGAGTACACAGGGGGGAGTTTTGTTTTAAAATGGAAGAAATTTTAGCATGTTTATGTGCTACAGAAACAATCTTATGGAGGGTAAAATTTTACATTTATCAAGCGGCTGGGGATTTAGCACAGTGGTTTTGCCGCCTGCCTCGCAAGCACAAAGACCCAAGTTTGATCCCTGGTACCAAAAAAAATTTACATTCATTGAATTATATAATTTAAGAATGAAAAGAAAATGTAGACACTATTTTCTCACTCAACAGCTTTATTTTAGAAATGAACAACGTGGGCCTCAGAGTGGTTTACTGAGTTTTCTAAATCTCTGAGAGTCTAATAATTGCTTGTCCTTACTGTTCATTTTCCATATAATGTATAATGTTAGTGTCTTAAAATGAGGAAGTACTAGAATTGCCAGTACCTGTGCTTTCTTATCTCTCCTTTTAGGGATTATCAGATCTGGATTAATGATGTCAGTTAAGTAGCAGCCATTTAGCTGGGAATCTTTTGTACACAACTGTTCACATAGTGTTGTATATAAAAGCCCTCTGCTTAAAACTTAATGACACTTAAATATTCTCTTTCCTTCTCCTTCATTACACCTTTTCTTTTCTCTTCTTTCTCTCTTTTCCTCTGATGATTCTTCCATCTCTTGACAACTTCCACCTTCGGAATTCATCAAATTCCTTTGAATAGAAACATTCCTAGTAAATTATCATACTGAGCTATGATCAACAAATTCCCTTATGAAGTGTGTGAAGAGGTCCTTTTGGTTCTGTAACAAGTAAAAGGAAGAGTTTAGTTGGAGTGAAAAAAAGAATGAAGAAAGGAAAAGAGGGCCCAGAGTGGGCTGTGGCTCGCCCCACATAGGAGTAGGATGAGAATCTTGGTACTGTGCAAGAAGAGAGAATGTGAGAAGCCGCATGGAAAGATCTCGGCTCCGTTTGCATCCAAGCCAGGTGATGCCACTCTGCTTCATGTCCATTAGAAAATAATTTACAACTATATCACATATGATTTACTTTCTCCTTTCCTCAACTGTTCATTTTCTTGTCACTGTGTCTGTTTTAATCTGACTTACGACTTTCCTTTCTAGAAATTATTGTTCTTATGTAGTCCTGAACATGTGAATGGTAGACCAGTTAGAGAATTGCAAAGTATTTGAACCAGTGATGTTGTCCAGGAGATGTACTTCTGAATAGAGGCTCTGCTCCCTTCTTGAGTTAGGAGGAAAGACATATGAGGCATTCAGGATTGCACGGGAAAGTGAAGTAGCTTAATTGCCTTTTCTCAAATGGAGATTTCCCAACTGATCCTCCATTCCATTCCATTTTAGCATATCTGTGCCCATTGTCTTCCTCCGTCTTTTTTCCCCTTTCCTTAGCCGGAATTCTGAGTGCATGCAGAGCTTTATGTATTCAATAAATCAAGCTCTCCCTGCTGAGCTGTCAGCAAATGGAACTGACCAAGAGAACAATCTGTGTAAGTGCATCTTATGCCCAGACCAGACAGACAAGTACAATTATTTGATTGCTGGAGATTGGCACTAAATGAGGGTGAAATAGTGGGTCTGAGACTTGTTGGTGAATATTATTAATAATATAGTGTCATGCATTAATAACATAGTGTCATGTGAAGCAAAGCTACACTGGGAGGTCTGTCTGAAGTCCCATTTTAAATCACATTTTCAGGGAGGTAGGTGGTTGAGGAGATGAGCAATAATAAAACAAGGTATCTTTTAGCACTGCTTAGAGTGTTGGTGGAAGTTAAGAGAATATACGTTGTACCTATAAGTTATTTGGTGGGCAGAGAGAAGCATGGTAACTGTCCATGTCTAATCCATCCATGTCTAATTGTCACAAAAATCGCATTACTATTTAGCTTTGTAGAATGCATTCAGAAGTTTTCATCTTTTTCTGTCTTCTGGACAAGTTTAAATATCGTGGGAAATTAAGCAAGTAGAATTCTCCTACTGCTTGCTGGTGGGAGTGTAAATTGGTACAACCACTGAGGGAAAATGTTTGGTACAATTACTAAAGCTGAAAATAAACGTGAAGCTTTCTAGTCCTTAAAAGTTGCATTTCTGTATTGCTCTTTTGTGAAAAATCATTTTCATTCTCATCATAACAGACCTTGAAGAGAGGAAAAACTCTAAGAAATTTTTTCTGGCAACTCTGACATCTTCAGTTACTGCATGGTTCACTTCTTCAGCCCAGCACCACAGGCAGCTCTTCCAGACATCCCTTCCATTCTCCGCTTCATAAACCTCATAGTTCTGTCAAATGAGATTTGTCACCATTGGTCTCCAAATATGCCCTGAAGCCCCTTTCCCCTGTGCTTTTAGTTAAGTCATTCTCCTTTCTGAGTGCCTTTCACCCATTCCACTTCTGTCTTTCAGTTAAATGTCCAGATTAGTGTATCTTCTATAAAGCTTTCTTTGTCCATTAAAATGGGGAATAGGTATCTGCAGACTTTTAATGTAAAGTAACAGATATTAAATATTGTAGGCCTTTCAGGTCACACATAGTCTGTGTTATGTATTAAGTCTAAAAACTATCGACGAACTTGGCTTATAGGACAAAGTTTGGCAGCCCGTAGTCTAGTGTAATCTCTCCTTCATCTGAACTCCTATAGAATTTTGTTTACCCTACACTACTAGTTTCTAAAAATGTATAGAAATTATATACAAGTATTTTCTGTATTTCATTAGTGACCCTTTTGAAAAGAAATCATATCTCACATGATTCTTTTTACTCCCTACAACATATTATAGTGTCTAAAGAGAAAGTACTAAAGATATTTGTAAAATAGATGAATAGATTATTGTTGATGTCTTCCAACAAGAATATAATTTATTTTCAACTCTTCTAAGCCTTTCCTTTTATGAGGTATACCTTCTGCCTTCCCCCCGTCCCTGGACCCCTTAGTAAGGCCATGTACACCATAAATACAACTGGCATGTAGTGGAGGTTTTTCTGTTAAATAGTGCATCCATTGAGCACATAAAATATGCAGGGGACCATTTTAGGGTCAGAAAACATCAGTGGGGAACACAGACAAAAGTCTCAGGCCCTATGGAGCTTTGTAGTGTAAGTTGGGTGTTACCATGAGCTCTCCCTATAATGTGTCTCAACTTTCTTTCTTTCTTTCTTTCTTTCTTTCTTTCTTTCTTTCTTTCTTTCTTTCTTTCTTTCT